GGTGTGCGGGGTGTCTGGGGTTGCGAGGTGTGCGGGGTGTGCGGGGTTGCGGGGTGTCCGGGGTGTGTGGGGTTGCGTGGTGTGCGGGTGTCCGGGGTGTGCGGGGTGTCTGGGGTGTCCGGGGTGTGCGGGGTGTCTGGGGTTGCGGGGTGTCCGGGGTGTCCGGGGTGTGCGGGGTGTCTGGGGTTGCGAGGTGTGCGGGGTGTGCGGGGTTGCGGGGTGTCCGGGGTGTGTGGGGTTGCGGGGTGTGCGGGTGTCCGGGGTGTGCGGGGTGTCTGGGGCGTCCGGGGTGTGCGGGGTGTCTGGGGTTGCGGGGTGTGCGGGGTGTGTGCGGTGTCCGGGGTGTCTGGGGTTGCGGGGTGTGCGCGGTGTCCAGGGTGTTCGGGGTGTCTGGGGTGTGCGCGGTGTCCGGGGTGTCTGGGGTTGCGGGGTGTGCGCGGTGTCCGGGGTGTCTGGGGTTGCGGGGTGTGCGCGGTGTCCGGGGTGTCTGGGGTTGCGGGGTGTGCGCGGTGTCCGGGGTGTACGGGGTTGCGGGGTGTCCGGGGTGTCTGGGGTGTGCGGGGTGTCCGGGGTTGCGGGGTGTGCGGCCCGCGGGGAGCCAGGGCCTGTGGCCTCCGGGGCACTAGGACTGCTCGCAGGTACGCGACGTGGGTGGGTGAGGCTGTGGGCGTCGGGGAAGCCCCGCAGGAGCGCAGCGGCGGGCAGGCGGGCGGGCGGCCCTTGAGTGCGGGGGAGGCGCCCTGGGTCCCGGAGGCCCGGCTCCGGGCGAGCGAGCGAGGCCCCGGGCGGCGGACAGCGCGGGCCGCGCGCCTCCGGGCATGTACACCCAGGAGCCTTTCTTTCCCGCCCGCGGGAAGTTCCCGAGTTCCGCGGGGACGCCCGTTCCGTGGCGGGGAGACTCCTCCTAGGAATCCGGTCAGGAGACGCACAGCCCTACCCCGAGGCCGGCCGAGCCCAGGACGCCCACGGGTCCCCGAGCCGCCGGGCCGCCCGGGTGGGCGTGGCCGAGCCCGAGGCCCCGCCCCCTGGAGCTCGCCGCGGGACGGGGCGGCGGGGAGGCGGGGCCCCGGCCTCGGCCACGCCCACCCTGGCGGTGGGGCGGGGCCTCGGCCACGCCCACCCTGGCGGCGGCGGGCGGGGGCGGGGTCTCGGCTGGGCCACGCCCACCCGGGCGGGCGGGGCGGCGGCGCGGGGCGCGGGGGGCGGGGCGCGGGCCCGGCGGAGGCGCTCGTGCCCGGGGCTCGGGGCGTGTGGGCGGCGGCGCCGGTGCACGCGCAGGGGAGAGGCCGGCGGGCGGCCGTTGTGGGGCTCGACCCGAGGGGCGGGGGAGTCACCTGCGAGCGAGCGAGCGAGCGAGCGCCCGCCCGCCCGCAGGGTCCGGATCGCGCCGGCTGCCGGGCCGCCTCCTCGTCCTCCTCCTCCTTCGCCTCCTCCTCCGCCTCCTCCTCCGCCGCCGCCGCCGCCGCCGCACACGCCCCGGGAGGCGGGGGGCAGAGTCCGCGCCCGGAGCCCGGGGCCAGGAGGAGCCGGACCCCCGCCGCCGCCGCCGCCGCCGCCGCCCCCGCCCGGCCGGGCAGGCGAAGCCCGAGGTGCGTGTGCGCGGGACCCGGGCCGGCCCGGGGAGAAGCGAAACTTTCCGGCGCTTCCCCGCGGTCCCGGCCGTCTGCGGCGCGGGGAGGTGTCGTCGTCGCGGGCGGCGGCCGACGCCATGTTGGGGTCTGCGGGACACGGGGCGCTCCCGGCCGCTCCCCGCCGGCCCCGGGACCGACGGACCCCGCCCGCGCCGCCGCCCGCGCCCGAGAGGCCGCGGTCGGTCCGCAGGGGCCGCGCCGGGGGGCCGGGGGGCGGGGGGCGGGGGGGTCGGGACCGGGGGGCTGGAGGGTTAGGGACCGGGGGACCAGGGGCGTAGGGACCGGGGGCCGGGGGGGGTAGGGGCCGGGGGCTGGGGGGGCGTTGTGGGCCAGGGGGTAGGGGCCGGGGGCTGGGGGGCCGGGGCCGGGGCCGGGCGGCGGGCTGCGAGCCGAGCGGCCGCGGTGGCGTCGTGGGCACGGGGTTGGCGGGCGGGACGCGGGCCCCGGTGGTGGAGCCGGAGCGCCCAGGGCCTTGGGGCGGGGAGCGGGTCCGCGGGCCCCGGCGGGACGGAGGCGCCGGCCGTGAGGCGCGGCTGGGAGCCGGAGCCGGAGCCGGAGCCGGAGGCCGCGGGGCTTGCAGGGCCCCCGCGAGTGTGCGTCGGTGCCCCGCGGCCGGGGGCTGGGGGGTGCGAGGCTCGCGGCGGCCCCGGGCCGGTCGTGCCCCGCCGCGGGCGGCCGAGCTGGGGACGGAGTGTGCGGGCTCCCTGCGGGCGGGCCGCCCCGGAGCCCCCCGCGCCCGCCCCCGCCCCGCGCCCGCCCCGCGCCCGCCGGGGGAGCTGCACCTGCGCCGGGGGGGGGGGGGCTCGGGGGCGGCGGGTCAGCCCGGGGCCCGGGAAGCCTCCTCCTGTTTTGACCCCGCGCGGGCGCTGGCAGCCCGGAGGGATTAGGTGTGTCCCGGGGCCCGGGGGAGCCGGCGGCCCTGGGGTCCGGGTGACCGTGCGCCCCGCGCCAGCGCCGCGACAGGGGCCTCGGCTGCGCGCGCCCCGGCTCCCCGCGCTCCCCGAGCCGCCGGACGACCCTAAGACACGTCCTGGACAACTTCCCGTCCTGTCTGGAGGTGGGAGTAGAGGCCACGCTCAGGTTTGGTTCCTAATTGCCTTAGTCCTTTTTTTTAAGGCTTTTATGCATGTGCTCAGGAGAGACCCCGAGGCAGAAGCGGGCTCCCTGCACCCCCTCCCCCGGGCCCGGCCGCCGGGGTCACGCCCCAACCACGGAGCCGCCGGGGCCCCCAATCTCCTTAGTTGTTAAACGAAATCCTTCTGGTTTGGCTTCACTGTCAGGCAAGCACCGTGGTACACATTGGTTTTTCCGGATGAAGAGTCAACCGAGGAACGAGGGGGCTTCACTCAGTCCGTGAGCCGAGCGGCCCGACTGGCACGTGAGCGAGGGTCTGCAGGACTCTGCAGCCGCCGCTCCGACCCGACCCCGGGGCGCTCGCTCTTCGCGGTTGCCCCGCGGCAGCCTACCTGGCCTCCTCCGTCTGGGCTGTTCTCTCTGACCCTAGTTCCTCGGTTTACTTACTTCCTGGAGAGCCGATTTACAGGGAGTCTTGTGGGGAACTTTTCACTTGAGCCTGTGCTTTGTGAAACCTCCTCCGCGCTGCTCTTACCCCAGCCCCTTCCTCTCCCCAAGACTAATCCACCGACCCCGCCGCAGTCCCGCACACCCGCCCTGGGCTGCCCTGGTACCTGCGGAGCCGCAGGCCGCGCGTGCAGTCTGGTCGGCTTCTTCATCCCTAGTGCTGGAGAACGGAGCGAATGCTCGGGAGAGCTTTGAATGGATGAGGACTCCTGTGTTCCTTGTAAATGTACTTTATGAGTGTCTAATTAAACTGCCCTTTCCAGGGGAGCGGCGGGGGGCGGGGGTACCATCGGTTAAGCGTCCAACTCTTGATTTCCGCTCAGGTCATGATCTCAGGGTCGTGAGATCGAGCCCGGAGCGGTTCCGCACTCAGCCAGGAGTCGGCCTGAGCTCCTTTCCCTTCCCTTCTGCGCCTCCCGTTCTGTACTCGCTCACCTGCTCACACACTCTTTCTCTAAAATAAATAAAATCTTGAAAATAAAATAAATTGCCCTTTCCGTGAGCATAGAAGTTAAATCTTTCCTAATACTTTTTTTCTTCTCTTTTTTTCCTTCTTTTGGGGGAGAATTTATTTTGCCCACTCAATGAATTTTGGCCTGGGAATACAGAATTTGAATGTTTATGAAATTTCCAAGTAGATAATAGATTTAAGTATAATCAACAAAGAAGAAGCAATGTGTCAATGAAAGAATAATAATTAGAAAGTGTGGGCAGCTCGGGTGTCTCAGTGGTTTAGCACCGCCTTCAGCCAAGGGCGTGATCCTGGAGTCCCGGGATCGAGTCCCACGTCGGGCTCCCTGCATGGAGCCTGCTTCTCCCTCTGCCTGTGTCTCTGTCTCTCTCTCTCTCTCTCTCTGTGTGTGTGTGTGTCTCTCATGAATAAATAAATAAAATCTTTTTAAAAAATAATAATAATTAGAAAGTGTGAGTGAACCTATTTGTGCTAGATGGAAATAGAGGTAATTCCTGAGTATAAATTTGAAGATCATGTTTATAAGCTCTTTGATAGAACAACTCTCAATTTCTCTGTCAGTTATTTTGTCAGAATTATCTTAGAGTTTGGTTTAGAATGCCTTACTTAATGCAAAGCATATAAAAATTGCTTTTCTATTGATAAGCTTATCTTTGAGAACCTTCTTTGTACGCCAGCTGCATGCTTAATAGCAGTGTTCTTGTTGGCTTAACTGAATAAAGTACGCTTCGTAGATAGACTTTCAGAGTGCCGTGTCAGGTTGCAGACCTCTCTAGGTGAAGGTGTTTACTAACTCTACAATGAGATTACTGTAGAATTTGGGGTTAATTCCCCGCCCCCACCCAAATTAGTTTTCTCTCCAATACACAAACCACAAACTGGTGTCCCAATTTTGAGGTCCTGGGCAGGAAGAGAAGGCATTCAGATGGTTGCTGTGCGTGCTGGAGACAGCAGGTTGCAGGTAGGGTGGACTGGAGCAAACACACCTGTGTCCTAGCTCTGTGCCTTCCTGGCCTGTGACTCTTGAACGAGTTGCTTCGTTTCTCTGAGCTTCACAGTGTATGAGATGGACACAAATACATGCCTCAAAGTGTTGTGAGGACTTACTGAAAGACGTTTGTGGGAGTGCTTGGTGCACGGTAGTTTTATTAGTAAATGAACAAAGTGTTCTTTACCTAGAATCATAGAATTTTAAAAAGGAAGCAACCTTTAGGGGCACTTGGGTGGCACAGTTGGTTGAGCATTTGACTTTTGGTTTAGGCTCTGGTCTGATGTCCAGGTGGTGGGATGAAGCCCTGCGTGGCGCTCCACGCTCAGCAGGGAGTCCGCCTGGGATTCTCTCTCCTTCCCCCTGCTCATTTGTGCACACATGCACTCGCGCACTCTCTCTTCCTCTCAAATCAGTAGATCTTAAAAAAAAAAAAAAAAAAGGAAGCAACCTTTAGAAAGAAGTAATTTAGTTTTTCAACCTTGGCTACACATTAGGATTCCCTGAGGAGCTTCTTAAAAATACTGATGCCTGAACTCCACCCAAGAACCAAGTCAGAATTACTGGGTTTGGGGGTCAAGGCATAGGTAGTTTTGCCTGCTTGTTTGTTTGTTTTAAAGCACTTGTGATTTTAATGTGCATTCAAGTTTGAGAATCATTGATATAACTGACTCTCCCCATCTCCTTACTCTTCATTTTGTGGTTGAATAAAGTGCAGAGAGGTTAAGTGCCACCCAAATTCTATCAGTCAGATGAGAAAGCATGTATCTGAGTCAGAGGAAAATGAAGGATGTAAGAGGTTGACGTAACAGGTACATTCATTTCAGACCAGAAAGGTGGGCCAGCTCCAGTGACTTCCACCTCCGCTCCACGTGAGCGGCCCACATGGATGACCGAGTTTTTTAACCTTTGTCATCGTTTGAACTGTCTCAAGGCCTAAACTCACCGGAGGTGGTGATTCAAGAGCCTGTGTTGCTGTTTTCCATCACACCTGATGAACCAGCTTTTTGTCCTCCTTGTCGCCTCCCAGGCTGTTTTCTGTCTTCTTTCCGGTGCTGAGCCTTGCAGTTCACCTTCTGTGAACTCCCTGGCACCTCGTGGTCCTCTCCTTGACCTTAGCTCTCTAGATCTGGTCAATTCTCAACTTGTAAGTACCACCATTTCCTTTTCTGCCCAGCACCCCTGGAAAAAGCCACAGCTTCGGTGACTGTTGAGGGTTTGTTTTCCAGCGGCCTGTGTACTAGTTGCTCTCTGATCCTTTTCTCATCCCAAAGTTGACTCAAGTTGACTCCTTTTCTCTGTTGTGTTTTCAGTCTAACTCAGATTGCTAACCCTGATCTTGAAACGCTTGACCCGTAGAGATAAACTTGCTTCCTTCTAAAAATGATTAAGATTTTGTGATGTGAATTTTCTGTTTTCTTCTTTGCATCAACTTTTTCATCCTTTCTATTTTTAGGTAGAATTATACTTAGTTCTTTATACTTGTTTCATTTAGACAATAGTTGGGGGGAATTAAAAAGATCTTTGTACTGTTTTTTCATATTTTTATCAATTGTACCTATAACTTTTTTTTTTGTACACCTAAATTTTTCTACCTGTTCTTCTTCGCATTTTGTTACTTCAGCAATGAAGTATTCTCTGTGTATGAGAGAATATGTGTTCATTATAAAATAATAATAATTTAAGAATATTTTATCCGGGGATCCCTGGGTGGCGCAGCGGTTTGGCGCCTGCCTTTGGCCCAGGGCGCGATCCTGGAGACCCAGGATCGAGTCCCACGTCGGGCTCCCGGTGCATGGAGCCTGCTTCTCCCTCTGCCTGTGTCTCTGCCTCTCTCTGTGTGTGTGTGACTATCATAAATAAATAAAAATTTAAGAAATAAAAATAAAAAAATAAAAATAAAATAAAAATATTTTATCCTAGTACTTAGAGACAAGTGGCACTAAATTTTTGGTGTATATATTTCCAGACTTAAAAAAAAAGTTTATATTGCATGTGCTGTTTATTAATATGAGAGAGGCAAATAATACATCATTTCATTTTTATTTCTTTGATTAGCACTGAGAACCAACATAATTCTATTTACTGGTCATTTTTATTTGTTGTTTTAGAAATTGCCGTTTGTATCTTAGCCATTTTTCTTTGGGGTATTTTCCTTTTTTTTCTTACTGGTTTAATTACATGGGTCTCTTATATATTAAAAATATTGACCCGTTGTCATTTTTTTAAAGAATTTGTTTATTTAATCATGAGAGACCCAGAGAGAGAGAGAGAAAGAGAGAGAGGTACAGGCAGAGGGAGAAGAAGCCTCCATGCAGGGAGCCTGATGTGGGACTCGATCCCGGGACCCCGGGATCCTGACCTGGACCGAAGGCAGACGCTCAGCCACTGAGCCCCCCAGGCGTCCCCACCTTTGTCCTGTGTTACAGATATTTTTCTTTAATGCTTTTTCCCTTCAGTGTTGACATTTAAAAATTTTATGTGGTAAAATATCTTCTTTTAAGACATTTGGCTTTTTCATGGTATAGTTAGCCATTCCTCTCTATGGCTAGAAATTTAGATTCTGTTTTTCACTATTAGAAATAGTCCCCTCCCCCTACTCCTCCACAAGACTTTTCTTTCTCAGGATAAGTTTCTGGTTAAAAATTCCAGGGTCAAAGGGCAGTGCTTTCTGAAGCGTTTTATTATTATACATTCATTACTATTAGCCTTCAATTTTTCCACGTGTTTCACTGCTTATTGTGACCTTTTGGCACAATAAGGTTATTTATTTAGTCTCTGAGACTTGTGAGACATGTGAAAAGCATGTTGAAAAGGTGCTTTGTGCTCTCTTTCCCTCCTTCTCTCTCTTCTTGCTGGTCTCTCGCTTTCTGGATGAGGCTTTCCCCCAGAGTTCAGTCCTTTGCCCCCGTAGTCCCTCCGCAGATCCCCCAGCAGGCTCCCTGGTGATGCCAGCATTTGTGTTTGTCTGGCGGATACCCTGAGGGTACTCCACGGTCTCTTGTCCCTCCTGAAGCAAAGCTAGTGTCTGCCAATGGCTTGTGCTTAGACCTTTGAAGTCCCCTTGCACTCACTTTTCCTCCGTCTATTCTAAACCCTGTCCTCTGTACCTCAGTACATCTCTCTTCCCTTTTTTTTTCTGCTGTCAATTATTGTGACTCAAACAAACCCTCTGGGGGTTTGTTTTGTTTTTGTTTGCCTTCACTCTAGCTTCAGTGGTCTCTCCAGCCTGTCCTGTGTCCTGCTTTTGGGCACTGACTAATATTTTCCTATTTGAAAGCCTTAGTCTTCCTGTTGCCCGTATAATAGTGTCTGAGCTGTTTAGTCTCCTGCCTACTTTCTTTGCAGTTGGACTCTCCTGCGTCTTACCAGATTTCTGTTCTCCCACTGTGCTGTCTCCTGGCCCTACTTCCTCCAGCCTGGGTGCGACTGTTCCTTCTCTGAGGCTTAGGTTTGTGCACCATCGTCTGTCTGCCTTGTCTCCCTCTCACCCTCGCCCCTAAACAGTTTGACCTGCTACTTTGACTTTAAGGCCCAGATTGAATTTCTAGTCATTTTACAGTTGTTTCTAGGTGTTCCCCCCGCCACAGTTACCTCCTAACTAAACACTTTGCCCCTGGACTTCACCACTATTTTATTTTATTTTATTTTTTTATGTTTTTGGTTTGTTTCTTCTCTGCTCCTTTAGACTCAGTGCACAGATTTAAGTTAATGATATTCCTTAGCTCATAGCACCTGCGTGGGTATCACACTCTTTTCTTGTCCTATGTTTTGTTTTCTTTATCATTTATTCCCATCATTCTCTTTCCTGTAGACACACTCCCTAATATATCACTCATGAATTACATGTAGTTTTATGCATGTAAACTTGGATTTATAGCTGTCTATAGGCTACTCGACTGACTGCACCTTCACAGAGATTGTTAGAGTACTTGTTGTTTCATTACCGCTTTGTACAGAGTAAATGGTCAACAAATGTTTGCTACGACTTCAAATTTATGGAAAACTAATAGTGGTTTTACCGGCTTCCCCATTGCTTAGACCAGAAACCTGTGGGTTTATTTCAGCTTTCTTCTTCCATTTGTAGTTAGAGCAGTCCTGACCTGATCTCTATTCTTTATTTTCCTGTTGCAAACTTCACTCTTACCAACTCATCAGACCACTCCTTCCAGAAGCTTCACAAAGAACTCTTCAGGAACCAACAAGATCTGGTCTTATTTTTTTCTCCAATTTTTCTACTAAATAACTCCCTCTCGCCTCTGCTGTCTCTGTACATGTAAATTTTCTTAATACACATTTTCTTGCAGAGCTTTGTACCTTTACCGTTGTTTTGCCTTTGAGGTTCCACTTACTCTTCACACTCGTTTCAAATGTTCAAATGCTACATTCTTCAAGCCATACCTTCACTCTTCCTTTTTTGCTTCCTTACCACTTTGCTACTATTTTTATCACAGTGCTTATCTCATTGTACTTTTATTAAAACTTTATGGTGCGTGTCTTAAATCCCAGTGTCTCCTTCATTCTTTTTTCCCTCTGACACAAAGTGTGAAACCTTGCAATGTGGTGAGAAGATTGTAACTGCTTTGTTAGGGATGTGATGGAATAACCAGCTCCACAGTAGTATTTATTTGGACTTTACTAGCTTTACTTTCATTATTATACAGTGGTTTCTTTACAGCAGTCAGCACTGTACAGCTGTCCCTGTGCAGATACTTTTTGAAATGATGCACTTTTTTATCTGAATTTTGTTGGTGGTGAATATATGCATGCATCATCATTTTTTATTTGCTAACTAAACAGCTGTGATTCTTGGCAAGAGAAGAAGTCATTTTTGTATATTATCATGAGATTGAATTCTTTTTTAAATAGGCTCTGCCGTGCTCAATACTTAGAATTCATAATTAGATACTAGTTAAATGCACCCGGACATTTATTTGCTTGTAAATTTAAAATCTGTCAGTCTAGTGAAGCAATTGATGTGTAGGGTGTGGTTCCTGTTTTCTGTGAACACTAGTACAGATGTTGAAAATGAAGCCTTTGATTTTTGTCAAACTCTAGGTTGAGAAGCTGCTGCTGCTTTTAACTGCTGGTCATACTCAGCTCAGTACAGATTGATGGCATATATATGTGCAAGCATTATTGTAGGTGCTTTAAGGAGCACTGAGTTGTTTCTAGGAACCTCCAATCTTTTGGGGAAAAGCAGGTATACAAATCTTTATAAAACCTAGTAGGGCAGCCCGGGTGGCTCAGTGGTTTAGCGCTGCCTTCAGCCCAGGGCCTATCCTGGAGATCTGGGATCGAGTCCCACGTCGGGCTCCCTGCATGGAGCCTGCTTCTCCCTCTGCCTGTGTCTCTGCCTCTCTCTCTCTATCTCTGTGTCTCTCATGAATAAATAAATCTTTAAAAAAAATAAGACCTAGTAGAACATAAGTGCCATAAAGTGGTACAGATAAAATGGTATGAGAATTTAAAGATGAAACAATTATGAGGCTACTTAACTGCATCTTTAAGAATTGATAAAATTTCAGAATAGCGTGGTGGGGGGAGGCGCATATTGGGCTCAGAGGTAGGTGAGGAAACTCAGAGCATACTCTGGGAATAGCTGGTAATCTGGTTTGACTATAACAGAACATATAGAAAGAGGTAAAACTTGAAAAAGTAGACTAGGACAGGCTGGGGCTTGACCGTGAAGGGCTTTGAATGCCAGATTAAGGATTTTAGATTTAATTTGGTTGGCCAGGGAACCTTTGGTTTTTGAATAGGGATTACCTGATGATGGTGTAGTTAAAAAATATTAATCTTGGAGCTTTTGGGTGGACATTCAATTCTTGATTTTGGCTTGTTCATGATCTTGGGGTTGTGAGATTATACCTGCATCCGGCTCTGCACTGGGCATGAAGCCTGCTTAGAGATTCTTTCTGTCTCCCTCTACCCACCCTCTCCCACACCATGTGTGTGTAGGCACTCACTCTTTCTCTCTCTCTCTTTCTCTCTCTCTCTGTGTTGTATGCCTTAAGTGCTAGTTGAAGTCTGAAAGTCTTGCTTAAAACTTGAGGTCAGGGTACCTACCTGGGTGGCTCAGTCAGGGTCCTAGGATCAAGCCCCACCTTGAGCTCCCTGCTCAGCGGGGAATCTGCTTCTCCCTCT